AAAAAAAAAAAAGATAATGGTTCATATTGAGATCCAGAAAACAGGTCAAAGTTAAGCTGCCATCCTAAATCTAGGATCCCCCATCTTGTCACATGTATACCCCCAATCCCTCCTCTTCCTATTGCGTGTATGTCCCTAGACCACCCCCTCTCACTGCTGTATAACCTATAGTGCAACCCCTTCCTGTGACGTATGTCTTTACCTGTAATTAGTGGGCTTGCACGCCCCCCAAAAGGTATATAGGCCTGGGTTAGCAATAGAGATCTCTCTCTCTCCCTGGCTCTCCCCTCTCTTCCCCCTCTCCTCTCCAGTCCTCTCTCCCTTGTTCCCTTTCCCGTCCTCCTTCCCTTCCCCCTCTCTCCACGTGGACCACCAAGCAGGGCTGAGGTAAACAATGCTACCATGTAATGTGTCTGACTGCATTATTGTAATATCTCTTCTATCGCTCATGCTCTCGATGACTTTAATATAATATATATACATCTCAACCGTACAGTTGTGCTTACTGAACCCGAGACTAGCGGTGGGGGCTGGCTCACCCCAATCTTAATACTACATTCAAGTTGCAACACTGACTTTTACTATTTAAACCTTAGATAACAATGATCAAGCCTTATTAGATCTTTTTTTTTTTTTTCTTATTAGATCTTTAGATTAATTTTGCCTGGCTTGTCCTTGCTATGATGCTACTACTACAAAGCCCATCTCTCAGATTCCAAAGATGACTACATAAATTCAGACTCTTTAAAATGTCACTAACACAGATAAGCCATCTGAGCCACATTTCAAAAGAAAGGAAAACAACTGAAAAGAAGAAAGAGGAGAAATAAAGTACTGGAATAGGAAGAAATGGGTCTCCATAATGTTAGTGGGAAGGGTATCAACAACCCTTAGTGACATTACAGAACACCAAGCCAAAGCTGCAGGTTAGTTACTCAAAGATGATCCTAATCGCCAAACAGCCTGGAGGCCTTTAGGAAAAGGGAACTAGCAATATGGATCATTCCATAAACATCAGTCATCTGAGCAGAACCAGAACCCATTAGCACATGGAAAGTAGCTTTTATTACTTTCTTATAAAAGGAAACAGACAAGCCCAAAATGAGTCCAGGCAGAGAGAAACCTTCCATATCCCACATTGTATTATGGGTAAGAAACTTCTTTTAAAAATCATTTTATTGGGGGCTCATACAACTCTTATCACAATCCATACATACATTAGTTGTATAAAGCACATTTGTACATTCGTTACCCTCATCATTCTCAAAACATTTGCTCTCCACTTAAGCCCCCAGCATCAGCTCCTCATTTTTCCCTTCCCCACCAGCTC